GTGCCTCCCCTTCCCCCACACTGAGTCACTATTACCTGGCTTCTCCCCACTTTTTCTATGTCCCGCAGCCTGCTCAGTCCGGGTACTGACGAGATGCCCCGCCTCCTGCATAGCCCGCACTGTACAGAGAGCCGCGCATTCCTTGTGACAGCCGCTGCACAAGTCAGTGAGAGGAAGCCCCGGAGCCTCTGTGCCGCTTCAATGACTGCCCAGCCTACACGGCATCAGAGGGGCCCGGGGACCACCAAAATTCTCTCGCGGACCACCGGTTGGCGACCGCTGTCTTAGAGCAGTGATCAACCAATGTGTAGACCTAGAGCAGGGGTGCCCACAATTTTTTGTGTTGAGATCTACTTTTCAAATGACGAGCTACATGAGATCCACCCGCGAAAAAAACAACCTCCCTCGCTCTCTCTCTCTCTTCTGGCTGTCATTCTTCATTTTTTCTCCTGGCCGTCTCTCTTCGCTCTCTTGGCTGTCTCTCCCCTCTCTCTCTCCTGGCTCACCTTGCTGTATTTTGCAAACAGTGTAGTGCAACAGGCTGTGTAAACTAATATTCTCTGATGTAATACATAGCACTTCAACCACCAGTATCCACCAGAAAGGTGTCAGGGAGCTCGGCTCAGCAGACTCAGGCTAATAGGTAATCATGTGTGCACAGCGAAATAAATATACCAAAATGGAATAAAGGGGCCGCCATTCACACCCTTCCTGATCTACCAGCATCAGCTTTGAGAGCTACTGCTAGATCACCATCTACCTAATGGGCACCCCTGACCTAGAGTGACGTTATTTTTCACGAGAACACGTTATTTTCTTGGATACTGAAACAATATAATTGTATCCCTTATACGTAATCCATTCTGCATTGCATAGGGTACTAACCGCACATAACTGCATTTATTTTTGCATTGTAATGAAAGTAACGCAGAATAGCTCAGAGTTCCTCTTTCAGTGTTTTACATCAGCCGAGTTTGGAGATTTATCTCCCTTCGCCTCTGGCTCTCTGATCTTCAGTCACTGTTCCCTATCGGTAGTAACAACAAAATGTGCTAACCAAACACACGGCGGACACACATGCCCGGAGGGCGCAAGAGGCGCAGGCTGCGATTGGGCCCGAAATCTGGCCTCTATTGTGCGTTACATTCCCGAATGACTGGAAGATTAGATTGTATCGCAGAAAAATAATCCTTTTTTGTCCAGGCCAGAAATAAAAACAGAAGGAGGCGAGGAACAGTTCAGATGTTATCACAACTAAATCTCACACATCCTATCCTCTGCTGCCTCAAAGAAAAAGCTCTTGAAGGGGGTAAAAACAAAAAAAAATGATATATATATATATAACAAGGAGACAAATATACATCATTCATCATACAGAACAAGAAGACTCCATACAGTACAAGTCCCCAGTACAAGCGAATGTAATACTGAGCGGTCAGCCAAGGGACAAAGATGTGAGGTGCGGGAATGTGGTCCTCCCGGCCCCTCCGAAGGGCAAAGAAGAGCAATTCAGAAAATCTGTTTCTTCTGGATACAATCTAAATCCTCTTTTTAATATAAACTGCACTTGACCGCCATTACACCTAACTCTCAAAATAACCCTCTTGGAATGGTGGAACCCTAATACAAAAGCTGTCTATACCAACCTACAATACTGTGATAACTTGACGTACCCTCCCCCAAAGCTAAGGTATCTCCTACCCTTCTCCTCCACATCTCCGAAAAAATACCCCTTCCCCAGGCTAAGGTGTTCTCCAGCCACATTCTCCACATCTCCCACAATCTCTCCTCCACATCCCAGGCTAAGGTATACCCCATGCACCTACTCCCCATCTCCCACAAAACCCCCACTTCTCCAGGCTAAGGTATCCCCACTTATCTCCTCCCCATCTCCCACAAAATCCCTCCTTCCCCAGGCTAAGGTATCCCCACTTATCTCCTCCCCATCTCCCACAAAATAACTACCCAAAGGCCAAGCTAAGGTATCCCCCACCCACCCCTCTATATCTCACACAAAATCCCCTCTTCCCCAGGCATAGGTATCCCCCATGCACATTCTCCACATCTACCACATCTCAGGCTAAGGTATACCCCATGCACCTGCTCCCCATTTCCAACAAAAAAAAACCTTCTCCAGGCTAAGGTATCCCCACTTATCTCCTCCCCATTTCCCACAAAAGAACCCCCCAGGCTAAGGTATCCCCCACCCACCCCTCTATATCTCACACAAAATCCCCCCTTCCCTAGACTAAGGTATCCCCCATCCACATTCCCCCCCCCTTCTGATCCCCGGCTAAGGTATACCCCTCCCCCCTCCTCCCCATCTTCCACAAAATCCCCCCTTCCCCAGGCTAAAGTATCCCCTTCCTTTTTTCACATGATAAATAATAACCCCTGGACCACACAAGATGAGAATTAATCCAAATCTTTATCAAAGTTGCTACCCCATTTTAATGGATACAAAGTAGTTACTTAACAAACATTGGGCAAAGTACCCAATATATATATATACTTAATGTTCTCGAATAACATGTTTGTACCGTAAGGAAAGCAGAGATCAGACAGCAGAACTAGAGAAAATATTAAAAACAAGGAAAGTATGAAGAGAAAGGAGCTCAAGGGTAGTAAAAAAAAAAACAGGAATATGGGATGGATGGGGGGCACCTGGTCTGGAGGAGCGACACCTCATGGGTGATTGGTTACTCTTAAGTGTGTAGGGCTAACATCTCTTGGGACTGTGTAGTAGGTCTTTAATACATCCAAGGACTCCAAACATCATAAAACTGAGTATAGGGATCATGAAGATACGCTGTTAATTTTGGGTGTTGCATCTCATCAACCCATTCCCAGAAAGAGGGAGGACGAGTGGACCTCCCATGTCTGGGTATGACGACCCTGGTGGTCATCAGAAAGAAGCGGAGAAGGTTTTTCTTGGCTGATGCTATTCCTCCTGGAGAGTCTGAATGAATATAATAAAGATCGGCGTCAAGACTTTGCATTTTCAAACTGAAACATTAATCACAATATATTTCAAAGTAATACAATTACACACCTAATAGGTGAAATAGAAAATAAGCTACAATGTGTTAAAGACTTTAATTTGCTATGACATATCCACCTGCAATGTGTTTGCTGTATCAGATTAGTCATTTATTAATGTTTTTTTTTCACTTTGGTTGGATATTTAACCTGAAACTGATCTCTAAAGAATCAAGATGGATACATACAGAAACGGTGATCACAGTAACATTGTTCTTCTTTCATCTCCAGGTAAATTTTATTGCCAACCTCATTTCATGCACTCCTTCACAAACAACAAACAGCGAAAGCGAAGAACGGATTCCAAACTGCAGGTAAGAGGAGGAATCCTTTACTTTGGCTCCCTTTATGGCCCCGGGTCTTTATTGTTGTGCAGCAACAACTGTGTATCATCACAACAAATAATATATATATTTATATCCTCACATGTCGGGCTGGGGAGGATAATGCTGGACGTCCTCCAGCCAGGAAATGTTGCGGGCTTTTGCAGCTTTGAATGCACATTGTGAGAAGCTCCCAGTGTGCTGTGAAATCAGAGGAAGCAATTTCAGTCCAGGAGAGGAGATGGTACAAGAGTGCGATACTGAAGGGAAGGCCGGAGGTCAGAAAAAAGACTAAAGGGAAGGACGGAGGTCAGATATAAGACTGAAGGGAAGACTGGAGGTCAGATATAAGACTAAAGGGAAGGTTGGAGGTCAGATATAAGACTAAAGGGAAGGACGGAGGTCAGATATAAGACTGAAGGGAAGGCTGGAAGTCAGATATAAGACTAAAGGGAAGGTTGGAGGTCAGATATAAGACTAAAGGGAAGGATGGAGGTCAGATATAAGACTGAAGGGAAGGCTGGAGGTCAGAAAAAAGACTAAAGGGAAGGACGGAGGTCAGATATAGGACTGAAGGGAAGGCTGGAGGTCAGATATAAGACTAAAGGGAAGGAGGGAGGTCAGATATAAGACTGAAGGGAGGATGGAGGTCAGATAGGAGGATGGAGGTCAGATAGGAGACTGAAGGGGAGGACGGGGGTCAGATAGAAGACTGAAGGGAAGGCCGGAGGTCAGATATAAGACTAAAGGGAAGGAGGGAGGTCAGATATAAGACTGAAGGGAGGATGGAGGTCAGATAGGAGGATGGAGGTCAGATAGGAGACTGAAGGGGAGGACGGGGGTCAGATAGAAGACTGAAGGGAAGGCCGGAGGTCAGATATAAGACTAAAGGGAAGGACGGAGGTCAGATATAAGACTGAAGGGAAGGCTGGAGGTCAGATTTAAGAATGAAGGGCTGTGATACAGAACAGCCCGGGTGTCTGGCCGTAGAGGTAAAGAAGAGGTAGCCAGGATAATGGCCCCAGCACTGCCCCGGTAACACAAACAGATGAGACTTTGTCGTTAATAGAAAGTAATGGTTCAGTTTTCCAAAACAAATGTTGCTGTTTATAACTTCTGGCATTCCACCCCGGAATATTCATCCACGGATCTCTGTCTTGTTTGTCTAAACTCAGATGCACAAAAGATGTTTTTCTATTTTGGTCGATTGCATTTTTCCACAATTAATGCCTATTAGGATATGAATAGATTTTAGGCCGGCAGTATTTCCTTATTAGTGAGCTATTTATATCACATCAGATCAACTGCAACATTTTAAGAATTTCCAGCTTGCTAAACCACTAGCCGGCTGCTCTGCCATGGCAAGTTACATAGTTACATAGATAGTCAGGTTAAAAAAAAGACGCAAGTCCATTGAGTTCAACCAACAGAAGTCCATCAAGCTCAACCAATGAACTCCATAATGTTTTACTAGTAGAAGTCCATCACATTCAACCTACAGAAGTCCATCAAGTTCAACCAATAGAAGTCCATTAAATTCAACCGATAGACGTCCAGCGAGTTTAACCAATAGAAGTCCAGCGAGTTCAACCAATAGAAGTCCATTGGCTTCAACAAAAAAGAAGTTACTCAAGTTCAACCAATAGACGTCCACAGAGTTCAGCCAATAAAAGTCCATTGAGTTCAACTAATAGAAGCCCATCACATTCAATCAATTGACATCCATCGAGTTCAACCAATAGAAGTCCATTGAGTTCAACCAATAGAAGTCCATTGAGTTCAACCAATAGAAGTCCATTGAGTTCAACCAATAGAAGTCCATTGAGTTCAACCAATAGAAGTCCATTGAGTTCAACCAAAAGAAATCAATTAGGTTCAACCAAAAGAAGTGTATCTAGTTCAACCAATAGAAGTAAAGTGAAGAGTGGTGCTAAATGTCTGAGGACACTCTGTGGGCACCTTAAAGGGAATGTCTAGTGGTTAGGTGCATCATTTATTTATTATGGTCAGGATTAAAGATGATATAAAATGGCAACAATTGTATCACATTCACCTGTAGTGAAATAAGCCCCCTTGCTTAGAGAACTCAATGAGTCATCAGATTAGCAACACCAACCTTATCAGAGGGCTCAATAGCAGGTTTCAGTCAGACTAACTAAACCTCCAACCAAGCTGCTCTGCTGTGCTATCTCTTTAGATTACCTTTAGTGCTCTGGGAATCCTTTGTCATGCATTAAATGTTAATTTGTTAAACAAAGATTGTATGTAAACTGTATAGTACAAAAATAGATGCAGAAATAAACTTTTAACTGAGGGTCATATTCCTGAAGCTGTGAATGTAAAAAATGGGTGGAGTTTGATTGTAACGGGGAGGAGGCGGGGTTCAATAGGTGACCATAAGGGTAGCATCAGACCCAAATGTTACCTTCACCATTCATAGAAAAGAAACAGAATTTATGTCTATGCAATTTAAAAAAACTTTAGCCTGGCTGTTGTAATTTTAGAATTCCTGTAAAACTTCCCATTATTACAAAGAGCGTGTATATTATTTTGTTGCGGGGTGGTGGTGGCAGATTTTCTACCTCACTCTGATGACACCCTGACCCTCTTTTTTTAGGATGAAGATAAAATGTGGAAGAAGGAAGAAGCCAGAGCTGCGGAGATAATGACCGACAGTAACTACAGCAGTTCAGAGGACAGCTCCCCAGGTATCATGACTTCCTTGTTTAGGAAAACAGTAAGCTGGCCTCTAGCGGTGACGAGGGACCTTCTTGCCATCCCCAGCCGCCTATCTAACTGGACGCGCGGCGTGGTACAAGGCGCCAAGCGCCACATCAGGGACAATGAGCAGCAATATGCTTACATGTACGAATTAATGAGCGTGGGTGTGCCATTCCTGTACGTGCTTCTCGAGGTGTTGACCCTCATGTGTCAAGAAGCCACACCTTCCCTACAGTTAGTTATCGAGCAAGTGCAGAACGCTGTTTGGTACAAAAATAGCTAAGAAGGTTGGCACCACTCAATGGGGTCAATTTCAAAGGAGTAGAGAATTTTCCATTTGCAAAGTGAACATTCACTTATAAGGATGAGTTTTTTTGGGGGTTAGGGGATATGGGGGCCAGAGCCAAAACTGATCTCACTGTTAACTTCCCCAAAATGTTCTTGAAATTATCTCCCTCCCAAAATTATCACATTGTTTATAAACAAAGACATGTGATCACTATGTTAATGCTTATTGATAAAGCCAAGTGATCACCACGTTAATGCTTATTGATAAACAAAGACATGTGATCACTATGATAATGCTTATTGATAAACAAAGTCATGTGATCACCACGTTAATGCTCATTGATAAACAAAGCCATGTGATCACCACGGTAATGCTTATCTACCAGCATCAGCTTTGAGAGCTTTGAAAAAAGACGATAAACAAAGACATGTGATCACTATGATAATGCTTATTGATAAACAAAGTCATGTGATCACCACGTTAATGCACATTGATAAACAAAGCCATGTGATCACCACATTAATGCACATTGATAAACAAAGCCATGTGATCACCACGTTAATGCTCATTGATAAACAAAGCCATGTGATCACCACGTTAATGCTTATTGATAAAGTCATGTGATCACCATGTGATGCTTATTAATAGTCATGTGATCACCATGTGGTGTTTATTGATAGTTATGAGATCACCATGTCATCATTGGCCCGTATCTGTTCCTCAACATCTAACGTCAGGTTCACAGCTAACAAAGGGCCATTTTGGACACAAGGACAGGTCCAGAAGAGTGGAAAGGTTCTTCCCCGATCCTCCATTTAAATTCTACTCCACCTTCAAAAAATGTAATTCAAGATAAAAATGTTACCTTTCCCATTGACTCCAGTATGTTTCACCAAAATGGTAGAAATTTTCCTTAATGTCACGATTTTCAACAAATTTACGGCAAAGTGAGATTCGCTCATGCTTATTCACTTAGCATAGTGCACAACAGTGAATTAACAATAGTCATAGGAGTCCAGATGGGTGCTATGGGGCCTGGGGGTGGAAGGGGGCCCCATCAGGTTCTGTCCTGTATCATTAAGGGTTGGAGTGATTGCAGTTGATGACAACTCTAATCCCCTGTAAAGTCTACAGTGTGGAGACAACTTCAGATGCAAAAGAGGAGTCTTTGGGATCCTGGCATCTTACCCACAGCTCTGAGAGACGTCATCAGGGGGCCCCTATCAAGCTTCTGCTATGGGGGCCCGTGATCGGCAGTTACAGCCCTGCTGAACAATGTAGTACTATGTTCACTTTAAACAACCAATCATTAATTGGAAAAAAAAATTGAATTTTTCTTGACACATGATTGGAGATTCCGGATGAACACCTGATCTACCGAGCTGGGTGTTCGCTTTGCTAAATGAACAATCTCTACGCCTTCTGTAAATCTCCCCACTGAGACGCTTTCTGTGAGTAACCTCTCCAGGAACATCTTGAAGAAGTGCTCCCCTTTGAAGGTTGGCCCCTGGCCGGTGCTTTTAAAAAAAAAAATTTGTTTGGACGGTGTTTGAAGGAGAGGGTTTAGATTTGCACTTTTGAAAAATGTTTAAAGTCCGAAATTTCACGTTTACACTTTTTAAAAAAAATATCTATTTTGCAACTTATTTTGGGGTCTGCGGACTGTGATGTGACCAATACAACCAGCAGCCAAATTTCAAACCTACATTTCTGATCTTCCATATTCTCCGTTGGCTGAGGCTATTTTTGACATTACTGAATTCGACAAAAATTTTCTTGAGAGTTTTATTTTGAAAGAGAAAAACTTTAACTTCAGAAGAAGTATTTTCTTTCTTTTAAAAAAAAATGCACTTTTTGTTACTTTTTTTTTTTAATTTCATCGCCTCACAATTCTGTTGCATGTTCTGCACTAAAGGAGAATATGGAAGAAAAAAACTTTCCAAAAATTTGCACACAAACAGTCCTCATATTTCATACGATTATCTCTTGGCCAGGAGCTTGTCGCGACCAAAGTACTTTGTGTTATTTTTCAAGATGACATCTTACAGCGCGAGTCCTTAAAAAAGGAAACTAGAATAACTTTTTAACAGTAAAATGTAAATTTTTAATAAAAGGTTTTTTTTTTACTTGCTACCTCTAATAAAACCTTATACATACAAAAAAAAATGAAGAGAAGGAGCTTAAAGGGGAACCCAGGTGAAAAATCTTATTAACCCTTGTAGTGCCCTGCACTAAAGTTAAAACAAAATAAAAAGTTATACTCACATTATCCTCCAGCCAGCTTGCTCTTAGACCGGTCCCTGGAGTCTGTCTCCGCCTCCGCTGCAGAGGTCTGTGGCCCAGTTGAGTCATCATGTTCAATGCAATGGGGGGGATTTATCAAAACTGGAGCAGACAAAAACTGGAGCAGTTGTGCATGGCAACCAATCGGCTTCTCTCTTCAGTTTGTTCAGTTAAGATTTGAAAATGAGAGAGAGAAGCTGATTGGTTGCCATGCACAGCTGCTCCAGATTTTCCCTTCACTGTGTATAGGATGTGAGGACACCGAGGGATATGCTATCGCTGTAGCGACAGCCTGGAGACAGGCTGGAGGAAGCGTTGTCACAGTCGCCTGGTGCCGAGAATCGGTTGAGTATAACTTTGTGATTTTTGACCCTAGGCAAAAATAAGCACTTAAAGGAGAACTATGGGGTCAGGGCTTTTCCCCATAGCTCTCCTTAGGGTAACGGGGTGACACAAACTAGCGTCCTCCCGTCACCCTAAGCTCAGTATATAGGGAGCTACAGCTCGCAGTATACTGAGACGCCGCAGCTGAAGCGGATCCCGACAATTGTGCCGGGATCCGCCCAGCTGCGTGAGTGACAGCTGGCTCTGCCTCTAGAGGTTTAATTGCCATAAACCTTTGCATTTCAAACAAGCGCTTTGTACTTTTATAATATGATCTAAACATTTCCAAATGCCAAATAAAGGACGAGAACAAACAAACAAAAAATGATTTGGCAGCGAATAGTTCTGCGAGCATTTTGGCAGTTTCTAAAACATTTCAAAGTAGTTTTTACATATTACATATTACAGGTGAAACTTGAATAATTAGAATATCGTGCAAAGTTCATTTATTTCACTAATGCAACTTAAAAGGTGAAACTAATATATGAGAGAGACTCATTACATGCAAAGCAAGATAATTCAAGCCGTGATTTGTCATAATTGTGATGATTATGGCTTACAGCTCATGAAAACCCCAAGAACCCCAAATCCACAACCTCAAAAAAGTAGATTATTACATGCAATCAATAAAACAAGGATTGTACATAGAACAATATCGGACCTCTGAAAAGTACAAGCATGCATATGTACTCAGTACTTGGTTTGGGCCCCTTTTGCAGCACTTCCTGCAATTACTTTTGCACGATATTCTAATTATTCGAGTTTCACCTGTATATTAAGAATAATTTAGGAAAATATAATTCTGAACAACAAAAGACACAAATATATATATGTTGAGATACTAAAATATTATTGTATAGAAACATTTTTTTTTATTTAAAGTGACATTAAACTCCGGAGTTAAATCTTAAAAACCTATTCAAGTATCCTAACTATGAATTATTTTTTCTACTTAAATACCAAATATTTTATTACACAATAATATTATTTTATTCTCTCAATTATATTTTCTAATATTATTCTTAAAGTGACACTAAACTCAGGATTTAAATCTTAAAAATACATCCAAGTCCCTGAACTCTGAACAACAATGTATCTTATTTGTGTATCACTCGGCTGTAGATCCTCCAATCACCTCTGAATTGGTGCCGACACTGTCCTTCCTTCTGGAGGGGGGCTACGTCTGTTCCCCATGGTCCCTGTGTGTGTTGTAAAGTAGTCACCGCTCCAAGCTCACTCCCGGGATGAACTACAATCTCATTATTAGTTTACTCGTTTTAATTGAGATTGTAGTCCATCCCGGGAGTGAGCTTGGAGCGGTGACTACTTTACAACACACACAGGGACCATGGGGAACAGACGTAGCCCCCCTCCAGAAGGAAGGACAGTGTCGGCACCAATTCAGAGGTGATTGGAGGATCTACAGCCGAGTGATACACAAATAAGATACATTGTTGTTCAGAGTTAAGGTACTTGAATGTATTTTTAAGATTTAACTCCGGAGTTTAGTGTCACTTTAAGAATAATATCAGAAAATATAATTGAGAGAATAAAATAATATTATTGTGTAATAAAATATTTTATATTTAAGTAGAAAAAAAATAATACTTTGTCCTATATTTACAAAACTTTGGATTAGTCATGTGAACTGTTAACTTCATTGACATATCCAATGATACAGAGATACAAAAGGTGTCTCCAGTGGCTACTCCCTTTGAAAATAATTGATGCATCTTGAAAACTAAAACGAGTTCTGATCTGGTCATAATATGGGCCTAATATTGGTCAGTTATTCCCCCCCAAAAAACTTGATCAAGAAATGTGCTGAATAGATTCTACATTTCATCATTGCTGGTTCTCTTCTGACCTGCTGTGCCTAGTACTGCATAATTACTCACTCACCTATAAGTGAGGCTGTAATGCCACATTATTTTTTTTTTTACTTTTTTTAACACTAATTTGATATAATTTAGTACTTTTTGTAATTTGTTTTTTTCTAACTAGCGGTTATTTTAATTGCTTTGAATTTGTACTTTTTCATTTTATTTTTTTTACGGTTGTTATTGTTTTGTTAATTTTGAAATGCTTATTTTCATATTTCACATAAATTAAAAAAAAAAAAAAAAAGGGGGCAGAAAAATAATTTTCTCAAGAATTGCACAAAATTTTGAAGAAAAAAAAAATAACGTTAACATGATGAAATAATACCAAAAAAAAAACGAGAAATGTTTTTGGGCTTCGGGCAAAAAAATCATTTTCTCAAGAATTGCAAAAAATCAGAAGAAAAAAAAAAATCATGTTAACATTATTAAATAATACATAAAAAAATTAGAAATGAGAAATGTTTTTGGGCTTCCTTTTAATTGAGATGTTCCGGGACGGGACGGGGGGGGGGAGTGCAAAATGTGGCCTTAATGGAATAATAATAATTTGGGATATGTTGTTCTTCAGTGCGGTCACATGTTGCTCGCCCCTCCCTTTTTTAAATGTTGTGTTTTGATTGTAACTACTTCGCTTTTTTTATAACGCTGTGAGATTAATTTGCAGCAGATGTTTTTTGTTGTTGTTTTTTTTAGAAAAATGTAACTTTAAGATGTAACTGCCAAATTGTCGAAAAAATTTCCACTCCCGTGTTCCTGTAAAGCAGGGGGTAGGCAAACTCCGGGCGCTCCAGCTGTGGTCAGACTACAAGTCCCATGAGGCATTGCAAGACTCTGGCAGCCACAGGCATGATTCCCAGAGGCTGATGCATGATGGGATTTTTGCTTTCTCCCACAGCTAAGGGGCCGGAGTTAGCCTACCTCTGCTTTAGAGGGTGTCCCAATCATTTCAGATATTTAAAAGATAACAGTTTTAATTCGCAACGCATCAGATTTGAGTTCCTGATGGACGTTTCAGAGGTTTGACAATTTCAGGAGTGGAAATTGAATCAGTGAAATGCTTGAAATTGGATCATTGATGTTCTTATTTTCTTCACTTGCTTTGAAATTAATGTTTCATTTCTGCCTTGAAAAAAAAAATGGGTTTGAGCATTGATCTGACCTCTCTGAGCGACTCTCTGACTTTCAAAAATATTCAGCCTTTTCTCCAGCTGTTTTCTTCCTTTTCTCAACCTCCTCTTCCTGTCTTCTCCGTCTTTAGTTCCTTCTCACATTCCAGTTCTACGCCCACTAGTTGGCTGACGTTTTGCTGCCGTCAGGTGATTTTCCTCGCTTTCCGTCTTGCAAAGTGTGTAACTAATACTGCAAAAAATATTTTAACCTCGTTGTTTTGTTTAACATATTCACAGCTAACGCGTTTTGCATCCTTTACTGTGTTGTGTGTTTTAACTGTTATGGAGCAATCTGTGTCTGCCTGGTATATAATCCAAACTACTCACCTCTCACGTCATAGGCCAATAACATTATTCCGATACGCAGTGTGTGTCCTGTAATCAATAATTCATGCCTGCCTGTGCCTTGTTGCTACTAATGATGTCGCTTACGATGTGTCAAAAACTCGTTACAAAAAAGTGGAGGATATTTATAGATTTATAGATATTTAGCAGATATTTATAGCGGCATTGAGCTGTCTTTGGAGCTGCAATGATACTTTTTATTGGTTGACTGAGCAGAGACAAGCTGTTGTGTTTCCAGAAGATTTAAAGTGACACTAAACTCAGGAGATAAATCTTAAAAAGACATTCAAGTCCCTGAACTATGAACAACAATGTATCTTATTTGTGTATCACTCGGCTGTAGATCCTCCAATCACCTCTGAATTGGTGCCGACACTGCCCTTCCTGCTGGAGGGGGGCTACGTCTGTTCCCCATGGTCCCTGTGTGTGTTGTAAAGTAGTCGCCGCTCCAAGCTAGCTCCCGGGATGGACTACAATCTCATGTTTAGTTTACTGATTTGTATTGAGACTGTAGTCCATCCCGGGAGTGAGCTTGGAGCGGTGGCTACATCACAACACACACAGGGACCATGGGGAACAGACGTAGCCCCCCTCCAGGAGGAAGGACAGTGTCGGCACCAAATCAGAGATGATTGGAGGATCTACAGCCGAGTGATACACAAATAAGATACATTGTTGCTCAGAGTTCAGTTACTTGAATATATTTTTAAGATATAACTCGTGAGGTTAGGGTCACTTTAAGGAGGGTCGTAGAATATCATGTGGAAGGTCTGCTTGGATGGTAGCTCTACAAACTTGCTTCTACCCTTTGAAGTGCCATCAATGCACGTTATTGTTCATCTTTAATAAAGGATTCAGAGTAGGGTTCTTTTGTAGGCAGTCAGTTTTGGGTTTTCTCCATTTTATAAAAAAAAAAGTTAAATATACCAGCAAGTTTTTTTTTTTTACATTGTGGCCCCAAAACAACAAAACAGTTGGATTGTGGGGTAACCATTTCCGATGAATTACCACAACTAATGTCTATAGTCAGGATCATCTGAAATATTTCTTGATAGGTATTTGGCTGTTTCAATATATTTTCCTGTGAAGGAATTAATTGATTAAATAGTAGATCAGAAATGAATTATCCTCAGGGGAATACCCATCAGGGTTATGTAAACTCTGACCAAAGCCAGTGCTGCCACAAGCAAACTAGGCAGCCGCTTGGGGCGCACTGCTGCCTAGGGCGCAGCCTCGATCACTCATCTCCCCATGGCAACCCCCCATCTATTTCAAATTGTAAAAGCCAATAGCAGGCTGGCTATTGCACTCACCCACTGAGCAGAGGAGCGGAACTGAGAGGCAACTTTCTCTCTCAAGTCTGCTCCTCTGCTCAGTGGGTGGGGTTTCAAAAGCCAGTCTGCTATTGGCTATTTCAAATTGAATTACATCCACCTGTTCCCCGCAGAAGCTACCCCGCAGGAGAATGGGGCCACCCGTGGGGGGATTGGTGTTTGCGCCGCAGGAAGGGGGCTTGGGGGTGCAAGTAGCTGGTCTTGCCTAGGGCGCAAAATAGTCTAGCACCGGCCCTGACTTCGACCCTCCAGGTGTGGGGCAGCTACAAATCCTATTAGGCATTGCATAACTCTGACAGTTGCCAGAGGCAGATACGTGATGGGATTTGTGGTTTCACCACAGCCGCAGGGCTGGAGTTTGCCCACCCGTGGGACGTTGGCTTCCCTACATCATGGGACGTTGGCTTCCCTACACCATGGGACGTTGGCTTCCCTACACCATGGGACGTTGGCTTCCCTACACCATGGGACGTTGGCTTCCCTACACCATGAGATGTTGGCTTCCCTACATCATGGGACGTTGGCTTCCCTACACCATGGGATGTTGGCTTCCCTACACCATGGGGCGTTGGCTTCCCTACATCATGGGACGTTGGCTTCCCTACATCATGGGACGTTGGCTTCCCTACATCATGGGACGTTGGCTTCCCTACACCATGGGACGTTGGCTTCCCTCCACCATGGGACGTTGACTTCCCTACACCATGGGACGTTGGCTTCCCTACACCATGGGACGTTGGCTTCCCTACATCATGGGACGTTGGCTTCCCTACACCATGGGATGTTGGCTTCCCTACACCATGGGGCGTTGGCTTCCCTACATCATGGGACGTTGGCTTCCCTACATCATGGGACGTTGGCTTCCCTACATCATGGGACGTTGGCTTCCCTACACCATGGGACATTGGCTTCCCTACACCATGGGACGTTGACTTCCCTACACCATGGGACGTTGGCTTCCCTACACCATGGGACGTTGACTTCCCTACACCATGGGACGTTGGCTTCCCTACACCATGGGACGTTGGCTTCCCTACATCATGGGACATTGGCTTCGATACATCATGGGACGTTGGCCATCTTGAGTTATCAGTTAATTTAGCTTATGAGAGATTCCTGCCTGGACTTGATCCTAAACATTTTTCTATGAGTAGTCTTAACGTTTCGTCATTGCTATAAAAACTAACAAGTGATCTTTTGATCTTTCTTGCAAAAAAAAAAAAAACCCCGCTTACGGCCAAACCTTTAAAGCCGTTTCAGCGTTTATTGCTAAAATGAACAAGCTAAAGTGGGAAGAAGGCACAGAGACCGAAATAAATTACTTAATTGAGCATGCACCAATCAACTTCTAAGGTTGTATCACACATCCTAGCATCAGAGCACCCAAAAAGACTTTTGGCTAATGGCGGGAATTAACTTTATCCCATGGCAATCAACTGTAACAGTAAAGTCTTTGGTCTGGTAGGGTGTTTGTTCAACCCAGAATTAAAATCTTTGATCCTAATCAGTTTCAAAAAGTTAAAAGTTACAAACTTTTTAAAAAAAAATAAGCCTCAGGAACCTCGCCATCATCTGGCATCGCTTGTTTGTGTTAGATGCACGTTAATCTGTCCGGAGCTCTTGTTGAAATCTGCATGTTCCGTAACCCGCGTTGCTCTCTGCAAACAAACCACCTTTTCCTCTTTGTCTATCTTTGTGTTTTTCTTCTATTTCAGACTCTTCCCAAACGGATTTTTGTTTTTTTCCCGCTGCTCTCCCTTTTGTTTTTTTGGGGCAGGCCATTGCTTAGGATCTTAAGTCACATGCTTTTTCACATGATGCGAAGTTTTGTTTTTTTTCCCTTTTTTTTTCTATCAATGTGTCTGAAAATTGTTGTTATGTATGTATTGGAACATACGACAAATTGTGTTCAATCCAATGGCATTTGATTTGTAAAGGAGAATAAACGCTTTCATTCTTTAATTACTTTGGGTTTGCTTCTTTGATTTTTTTTTTTTTCATCCTTTTTATTTGTTTTCCCATTTTTTTTTAAATGGAACAATATTTTTTTTAATGAGATGAACAGCTTACTTTATGTCAAAATGAGAATAAATATCAGAAACCGCCAAAGAGTCTAATGTTTACAATGCAAGAATAAAGCTGCACTACCTTCATAGACCCAATGTTCCAGCGTAAGTCTCTGCCGAACCCAATCAACAAAATGAAGAAAAGAGCTGGCACTCGTAGGAATCCTCTTAATGGCGTCTCTTTTATTGAAAAGGCATAAAAGGAGCTACAAAGATTGCTCACATGTTTCAGTCCACCAAGGGACCTTCACTCTAATGTCCATAATTTGTCAACCATTCTTCTATTATTATTATACAGGATTTATATAGTGCCAACAGTTTGCACAGCGCTTTACAATATAAGGAAGGCGCTAACGTTACAATTCAAATCAAGACAAGATGGTTAGGAGGGCCCTGCCCCTGAGGGGCAGGTGATACAAGAGGTGGTAGCTGTGTGGGGATGGATTGTTTGAGAAAGTGATAGTTCAATGGTTAGATTGAGGTGGGATAGGCTTCCTCGAAGAGATGAGTCTTCAGGGATCGCTTAAAGGTAGACCAAGTGGGAGACAGATAGACAGGTTGGGGTAAGGAGTTATAAAGGTTGGAAGAGACTCTGGAGAAGTTCTGGAGGCGAGCATGGGAGGAGTTGACGAGGGAGCTAGAGAGTAGGAGGACTTGGGAGGAGCAGAGGGGATGGTTAGGGTGATACTCTGAGACGAGGTTAGAGATATAGCCGGGGCAGAGTTGTGGATGGCTTTGTAAGTGGTTGTTATTATTTTAAATTGTATCCTTTGGGTGATCGGAAGCCAGTGAAGAGATTGGCAGAGAGGTGAAGGGGACGGAAGTCAATGGAGGGATTGGCAGAGAGGAAGGGGATGGAAGCCAGTGGAGGGATTGGCAGAGAGGGGAGGGGGGTGGAAGGCAATGGAGTGATTGGCAGAGAGGAAGGGGATGGAAGCCAGTGGAGGGATTGGCAGAGAGGGGAGGGGGATGGAAGGCAATGCAGGGATTGTCAGAGAGGGGAAGGGGATGGAAGCCAGTGGAGGGATTGGCAGAGAGAGGAAGGGGATGGAAGGCAATGGAGGGATTGGCAGAGAGGGGAACGGGATGGAAGCCAGTGGAGGGATTGGCAGAGAGGGGAAGGGGGTGGAAGGCAATGGAGGGATTGGCAGAGGGGGGGATGAGAGGGGAACGGGATGGAAGCCAGTGGAGGGATTGGCAGAGAGGGGAAGGGGATGGAAGGCAATAGAGGGATTGGCAGAGAGGGGAAAAGGAGGGAAGGCAGTGGAGGGATTGGCAGAGAGGGGAAGGGGATGGAAGGCAATGGAGGGATTGGCAGAGAGGGGAAGGGGATGGAAGGCAATGGAGGGGATTGATAGAGGGGACTTGCAGAAAATGAGTGGCTGGTTAGGTGGATGAGTGTAGCAGCAGCATTCATGATAGACAGAAGGGGGAATAGCCTGTGTAGAGGTCGGCCAATGAGGAGGGAGTTGCAATAGTCAAGACGAGAGATAACAAGGGAGTGGATGAGTAGCATTGTGTTTCATTGGTGAGGAAGGGGCGTATTTTGGAGATGTTACGAAGGTGAAGGCTGCAGCATTTGGATAGTGATTGGATGTGGGGCAGTAAGGTGAGGTCAGAGTCAAAGAACACTTATCTGACAATTTTTAAGTCTGAGGCCCGGTCTTTACCCTTCGGACCCTGAGCTATGTTTCATCACTGCTCAGTACTGAGCAATTCTTGTATCGCAGTACATAATAATTACCTTCTGCTGATGACCAGTACAAGATGATGGCTTCCCTCTTGCTGTTGGCGTCAAAGGAAGTTCAAAAATGAAAAGTAAAATGAAGACAAATGACAGTATGGTAGAAAGGTGACTTGCGTAAAGGATGAGTCAACTGGAAGGAAAACTTCACAGAAGTCTTTACTGAGAATTCTCCACCAGAATCTTTCTTGGGAATCAACAGAGAATGCTAAGACTCAGTTTGTTGTTCCGTTTGTTGTAGCAACAATTGATCTTCATATCTTTTTTCTATTCTCAGCCTCGAAGTAAAACAAAAAATCAACTTCATATGTTTTAAAGAAAAACAAAACCAGTATGCTTGGTTATACCCGGTGAATGCGTACGGACAGACTAAGTCATAAACCTGACTCCAAGTTTAATGTTTAACTTGAGCTCATTTTATAGCAGCAATTTTGTAACAAAGAAGACAATACACTTTTCAGTTTACAACCATCGAAACATGAACTGTAGACGGTTCCGAGATATTGTTTAACCGGCTTTATCTTCCCACTTGTGTTCCAAACTGAATGGAGGGTGCACGCCCTTTGATGTAGGTTGGACTGATAAAGCATAATAAACATTATAAAGATATGTGTGCTAGGTCTCAGCCTCCTCGAAGGGCCTCCTCTTCTCTATTATTTTTTTCTAAAGCTAGTGTTGAATTTTCTTTTCTGATACTATTTTGTAGGGATGCTACAGTCTAAGTTTTATTTGGCTCTAGTTTCTACTATATAAGATGAATGGTCTTGTCTTTTTTATTTTACGCCCCCCTCCCCTTTTTCTTTTCAGAGTAGATACTACACTTTTCTTTTTAATTTTTGTAGGCTTTCTTTCTTAACTTCCTTCCACCTTACTAGACTAATCTCCTTTACTTCTTTGTGAGTCTAGACTTTGGTCTTCCCTCTACTGTAGACCTTTCTCCCTTCTATTTGTCGACTACATATCCTTTTTTTTAGATATTTCTTCATAATATTAGATTCCAGAACCCTAATCTTAGACTCCCAATTGCAAGACTCTAGACTCCCAATATAAAGACTTTAGACTCCCAATATTAGACTCTAGACTCCCACTATAAAGACTCTAGACTCCCAATATAAAGACTCTAGACTCCTAATAGAAAGACTTTAGACTCCCAATAGAAAGACTTTAGACTCCCAATAGAAAGACTTTAGACTCCCAATATTAGACTCTAGACTCCCATTATAAAGACTCTAGACTCTCAATATTAGACTCTAGACTCCCAATATAAAGACTCTAGACTCCTAATAGAAAGACTTTAGACTCCCAATAGAAAGACTCTAGACTCCCAATATAAAGACTCTATACTCCCAATATAAAGACTCTATACTCCCATTATAAAGACTCTAGACTCTCAATATTAGACTTCAGACTCCTAATATAAAGACTCTAGGCTCCCAGCATTAGGGGTTGATTTACTAAAGGCAAATAGGCTGTTCGCTTTGCAAGGGAATTTTCCCTTAGCTTAGTGAATGAGGTGGAGCTCTGCTGACTTCCATCATCCAATCGTGTGCAAGAAAAAAATACTTTTTTTTCCCCTTGCTTGCGATTGTGTATTCTGTGAATTTTCAGCACATTCACTAAGTTACAGGAAACTTCCATTTCCGAGTGTAAATTCCCTTGCAAAGTGAAAACAGCCTGTTTGCCTTTAGTACACAAAGCCCTTAGGCTCCAGAACTTGCTTCTTTTATAGAGTTTATACTTTACCTTCTTGCTCTAGATATTTATGCCCATTAATCCAGACATTTTTAACGGAGCGGGGTGGGGGGTGGAATGGGGTTATAGGGGGCTGGGAACGAAATTATAGGGGTATGGGACAGGATCTCTGAATATCTGAATACAAAGCGGGGAAGTGTTTAGATTGAAGAATAACAACAGCGAGTATATATATATATATGAGAGAGAGAGGGGGGGAGAGAGAGGGAGAGAGATGGAGAGAGAGGGAAGGAGAGAGAGGGAGGGAGAGAGAGGGAGGGAG